TTTGATCCGTTGTCTATTTTTGCAAAAAATATTTATTCGTGAGTTAAAAGCATAGAAACGAAAAACAATAACGACCCTGTCCTAAAGGTATCACTCGTAAATTAATGAAGAGGAGTGATGATGGTTATAAAGATAAATAAAAGACAGGTCACCAAAGGGTATAATTTTATCTAATTTTGCTTACACGAACGAATCATGTAGACGTGTACCCATGCCAATTTTGTGGTTTTGGTCTCGGTTACTGAATTGAAGCGCAACAATTATTACGTAAACTTTCTGCAAATTTGAGTGATTCGATTAATGTTTGAAGTGGTGTCGAGGTCAACCACCCACATAAAATCTTAACAAATCAAGCATATTGTGTGTGTGACCTAATTTTACAAGAACTTTTCATAATACCGAAAATACTGAGCTTCACAAGAAATTTTTGGCCGAAAATTTTTTCGCGTGAGTTAGGTTCGTATTATAAGTAAACCGAGTGCAATCAGGCAACACACTCAACTGATGGATATCATTTTGGAAATGGGAACTGACTTTTTATAGGCTCACGTCAGAAACAACGTATGTGCCATTAATGTTATTGCGCGGAAAAGGGCTTCTTCCTCCTCCTCCTCTTCTTTTTCTTCTTATTTCTCCTCTTCCATTTCTTCTTTTTCATCCCCCTTCTCTTATTACGATGAAACGAGAAACTTTGCTATTGGACTCATTCTACATGTTTTTCCCTTCCCCAATTCATCACAACCAACCATCAAAACACTATCTCGTGACTATCGAAAATGACCCCCTCGACACTTGACCCATCGAGAGTGTGAAACCGGTTGTCATATCAAAACAACCACCCTAATGCTTCCCGCCCCTCGAAGATGAATACCCAATCAATCAAACGGAAGGGGTCACAGAGGCGAAACTCATGAAAACATTCTGTATCGGCGAAGCGTTGGGAGGCCTGCAAAAGCTTACGCGTCGAACTCGTTATTGGCAATCGCACGAAACGCAGGTAATTTTAACGCTGACACGTAAGTCGTAAACCATAACTTCAGCAACATTATCGCCGATTCAGATCTATTGTGTGAGCTTAAGAGACGACGGATGCAAAACCGCATCTTTTACACACGCAAGAGCGCAAATAAAAGCTCGATGCAGTCCTAACCGCGAGCCGCGTGTGTGAATGATTTGATGTGTTTCAGTCAAAAGGAACTATCTCCATTGTAATATGGGCTCTGTGATGCGTGTGTTCTTACGAGTATTAGAGCCCAGATCACGATGACGATAGGTTCTTTTGATTTGAATAAATTGGAGTGCAGCGCGCGGACGTTTTATTGCGCGCCTAGCGGTCAGTCCGTCCAGGGTGGCATGAAATGAAAGAAACTTGTGAGAGATTGGAAATTTCCGTGAAATTTCCTGAAATTTCAGGAGGTTGTGAAATGTTCATTTCAGGGCTGCAGGGTATGCAACCCGCGCCAAAAAAAAGCAAACGACACAGAAAATATTTAATTTTTTTATTCGACACTGGATTTTTTAATATTTTTCTTGTCTGGGGAACATGAATGATAAACAGCGAGTGCAGTGTATAATAATGGCGTAACTAGCTCATAACTTTCGAAGAACGAGTTTGTCAATTGGGGGTAAACTCGAATGCAATAAATCAACTTCCTCGCGCAGTCATTGATCCTCCTCCAAATCTAAACAAGTTAACTTCGAAATAACGTAAAACAATTTAAGCTATAAAAGCTGCGGATTTCTTTGGAATGAATTAACTTTTTATGCGTTATTTATTTATAAGCATCATTTAGGTGAAAAATTTCGATCAAGGTCGCATATCAACGGTGAAACTACCGGACCACGTATCTCGTTTGCGGTGTTTAAAAATCTCCACTCACATTTTATTTTTTTGAAGGAGATCAAATCAATATCATTCCTTACAATTTTCACAGATTTTTCTCCGCACAAAGAGGAAAAATCACGGAAGTTTTCACGAATTGACGTTGAGTGGTTGTCTATTTAAAAAATAAAGTATGACAGGAAGTCTGCGACGTCGCAAACCGAGATACGTGGTTTGGTAGTTTCACCGTCGATATGCATTAAATAGATCAATGGTCGCTCCATCTCCATCCAAATGATTCAACCTGTTAGATTTGATGAGTAATAACTTCACACCTTGCCGCTTTAAAACCATAAAAAAGTCAAAATAATCAGATTCAAGCCTATCAAGTTGTCGGTACGAGGCAATGACGCACAGAGACAATCGCATTTGCGCTTTAATTTGCACAATGTGAACATCCTCATGAGACTGGAAAAACTGGAAAATTTAGCTTGCAGAATTATTCTCAAATTCAGGAAGAGAAATTAAGGAGCGTAGAGAGGAAAAAAATAGGACGAAACATACCATCACCATGAGCTGTCAATCATTAGTGAAGTATGGGATACAATAGTTTATTATCGTTCATCAAAATATGATAAACTGTGCCTTAAGTTTTTTATTCTATTATTGCAGCAGCAATATAATATGGCTCTCGTGGAATAAGCACCATCAAAGGAAAACTTCCTTAATTCGATTAATTAATGACGAGTTAGTTTGACCTTTTATTTTTTAGGTATTAGCGAAAATTTTCCGTGAGAAAATTTTAAAATATGGTTTAGCGCAAATTGTGTTATTTAAGGCCACTGCGATATTGTAATTTTCGAAATTTCAGAAACCACTATGGAGCGGAAATAACATTTTCCTGAATAACTGGAGGGATGACAGTGGAAAAAAAATGCAGGGTCTTTGACTCTGGAAAAAAAACACATTGGATGTAGAGTTCAGACTCTTGAAAACAATGACAAGAAAAAATACTCTTGATTCAATCGGATTTTTGCTTGAATCAAAACGAAATCCGCTCACATTAAGAGGCTTGGTTATTGATTTAAGCTTAAATCTGATTGAATCAAGAGTACTTTTTCTTGTCGATGTTTTTAAGAGTCTGGACTCCAGATCCAACGTGCTTTTTTCCAGTCGACAATTAAATAGGTATTTTACGATACGAGATAATATCTACTCTTGACTAGGAAATCTCATACTGCCCGGGAGGAGAAGTTCTCGGGACATGTACCTTTCTTGAGGGACGCTAAATCAAAACGGAAAAAGTACATTATCTTCGGTGGAGGATGCATACCAGTCTTGGATTATGCAGAAAAGTCGTGACTCAATGGCTGCAGCACGGGCGGCGATGCGGCATTCGGCGTGGTTCATTATCATCGTTTGTCCTATAGGAAATTGAGTTGTAAAACATAACGTCTCATGCTGTTCGGTCTACCTCTAATCGGTCACCAACCATCTATACAGGTGTTTATAATTCCGCAATTCCCGTCTTGCGCTTGGAAAGAATCAATTGGAAGTAAGACGAGACTGTAAATGCTCGGATCTCGATAAAAATTAATTTAGGTAATTCATTGTGATTACAGAGAGAAAGACTACGCTTGCACTGAGGGTCTTTCTTGTCTAATATATGTACCCGTTTAACACGCGTTATGCGTCGTGATACGGTCTTGCCAAGACAAAACTTAATTTCTTACTTTTCTACCTCTGCGTTAAAGTCTCCTGATCAAAGATTTATTTTTCCAATCATTTCCTGCATTGTACTATGACAAGTTTCACGCGAATCAGGCCTTTGTGCATGGTGACACCTCTTGAAAGACGAGATAAAGCCTTAATTCATTTTCTTACTTTCCTACTCTCACGTTGAAGTTTCCTGATTGTAAGCATATTTTTCAATGAAAACTGTAAGAGACGTCATTTTCATTCAATAAAAAATGTTACGTCAATCAAGCCGGTATGCATAGTTACCCATCATGAGGGAAGAAGCCTTGATTCATTTCCTTACTTCTCTACTTTTGCGTTTAAGTCTCTTGGTCTCTTTCAACGATCACAGATTTATGTTCCCGTTCATCTCGTTCTTTGAAAAAATTTACATTTATTCGGGCGTTATGCATGAAATCCTAGTCTTCTTTAATATGATAAGTGTACAGAAAAGGCTCTCAGGCGAATGAAGATTTTACAGCTGAAAGTTTATCGAAATCCGAAAGCCGCTTGAGCTTTTGTGCTGGGGGTCGATTATACATCGTCGTTTCTTAAACAGTTCGTTTCTTTAGGACATCCCATATAGTTTGCATTATGATTGAGGGAGATTCAAGGGGACCCATGTCATAGCATTGTGAAAAAGACAATTTTTGCAAACTTCCAGTAAAATTCCGGAGTATATACGACTTTGATAATGGATGCTTTAAGGGATGCGAATGATTTACCACGGTTATGTTTAGTATGTGGCACTGAGAATGTCTAAAAACTCCAAAAATGCCACTCTAAAACCCCAAAAACTTTTACGAACTTTCTTGAGTGCGGAGACGCTAAAGTGCAAATGTGAATAAAATAATTCTGACTAAGTCTGCCAGTGCCGTTGCCACCATGAGTAACTGTTCGATTCACACACTTGTAACATAATTGGTAATGCAAATGATGTTTTCAATTCGATCCGAGCTTCATAAGAGCATCACTAAGCCTTGAGGGTCAAAAATTGAAAATCGACTTTTTTTCTTTTTTTAAAAAGAAAAATCGAATTTTTCGCTTCACGGAGGATTTGAGTTCCCACCTCAAAGACTGCCTTTCCGCTTGACGTCATCCTAAACCACGACAACAATTCAATCCGTAAAATGCTGCGAGTCAAAAATAATGATCCAATCATACAAGACAATCTATATCATCTCATAAAACCTTATTACTATCCCTTTATCTCCTACAGAATACTAATATAAATCCCTAGACCTATTATGATACCTACCCTTACCCTTTCATCCTAGCTTTAATTAAAACCTAAATTTCTTTCCAATTTCAGATCCCTTCCAAGGCCGCAGTATCCCCCGGATATAAAGCCTAAAACAACATTAAAAAAAAAAAAAAAAAAAAAAAAAAAAAAAAAAATGATTCAATCGAAGAAATAATGAAACCGGAAAATTCCACAAACCTTTTATAGGTCCTTAACGTAAAGTAGAGAGCTGAGAGCACGGATACATTTAAGCGAGGTTAAGTAACCCCGTGACACTCGCGAAAATCCAAAAATCGCACAAGGAGAGCACTGCCGGCCAGAGAGCGCGAGATCCGAAAATCACAATTCACATGGAGCAGAATGGAGGAGGCGATCGGGGACGGGCGACAAATGCGCGGGGATTAAGTTGCAAGACGAATGAGGACCGGGAGCGACGCCGACGCCGACGACGGGGAAAAAAGCGCGAGCGAAGACGAATCGGAAGGCGAGGACATGGACGGCCCCTAGCGCAGGTCCTCGAGGACTCGGGGTTAGAGCTTGGGTCAGAGTGCGCACAGCGGCCGAATGAAGATACGAAATGATAAAGTGAAAGTATTTATACCACCTCTATATTCAGCCGAGAGATGAGCCATGAGCCGGGAGCGCCCGGCCAAGCCGTCGCTGAGGGTCCTCTCCGCGCTACCCGTTGCCGTCGTCGCGTCCCGCAAGTCGCATCCCCCACATACCTGTCGTGTCGCCCCTCACTGGAAAAAAAAACGCATTGGATCTAGAGTCCAGACTCTTGAAAACATCGACAAGAAAAAATGCTCTTGATTCAATCAGATTTAAGCTTAAATGTAGAACCAACCCTCTTAATTTGAGCGGATTTCCTTTTGATTTAAGCTTAAATCTGCTTGAATCAAGAGTCCTTTTTCTTGTCAATGTCTTCAAGAGTCTGGACTCTAGATCTAATGTTTTTTTCCCAGTGCTCTCAGACCTTGTCTCCACGGGACGTTTCTATGGGAATATTAAGGATGGGGGCCAGGCCTCCCCCTAATATTGAAAATAGTATAATCTGCTCCGGAGGGGGGGGGTATAAATTCTGGATGGTGGAAAAAAACCGTCTTTGATTGAAACCGTCATCTATTTTAATGTAGAGTCTGAAATGAATACACCGTGTTCATTCAGTTATAATTTTCCAAAATGTTTGTCTTGGAAGCCTCAGAACGCTCCCAAAGAGAGTTAAAATCAGTTTGAACGTATTTTGCGCTGAAAGTAAATGAAACGTAATTTTTCCGCAAAAATTGACGGAAAATCTGCGTTACGGAAACCTTACAATGCGTCCAAATGAGTATAAAAGTTCAACAATTTTCCGGGGGAGGCCCCCCTCTAAACTGAGAGGTATAAAATACTCTCAGACTCCTCGTTGGTAGGGGGCCAGACCCCCTTAGCAAAATTACCTACGTACGCCTAAAGATGAAGAGAGACGTCATGAGATTTGTCCTGGGGAAAAATCTGACTTGTGAAGTTGGGAAAAATTTTGAGTTGTTCAATACGTTACGCTGCGTTACATGGAGGAAGTAGGGTTTTAGCTAGCGTAAGGTGACCCTCTCCATAATGCTAAAAAAATACACAAAATCCAAAATGTATCAACGTCATTTCCTCGGCGTTATTGAGTCACGCTATCGTTCAAAATACTTCAAATTTAACCCATCTATTTATTCAAGAATTCCCCACAATTTCGGGGATATTCAGGTAGGCATTACGTAATTATTAAGGCGAGGGCACGGGGTTGCGTTACGAAGTGTTACAAAGGAGGAGAAGGCCAGAGGGGTCTGGAATGCCAAAAAAGTGCATTATACTGACTGCACTTCCTGACCATAACATCACTCCGCACGAAAAATCCTAAAGTTAGTCCGTTTCAACAAATAGGATGGCTCCATTTTCTTGGGAGTCTGCTTTTGTCTATTTTCAATAAGCAGCCAGCATGAATTCGCTTTTAGATCCGAATTTCGTCGGATTGTTGAAACTGGAGGAGTTTCACATGCAAACGAATCTAGTTTGACTAGATCATCGGTTCGCGAATTTTCCTCTGGCTAGGTCGTATACTGCTTCAAGGACACAGTTCATTTTAAATCTACACTTATGATTCAGGTGAATAGCTATGTATAGCGAGAATAAGCAAAACATGGAGACATTTCTATAAAATACTAGTTTCATTTTGAAGGTTTGGCAAAAATGGATCGATTACGCCTAGGGGGCGACATTTTAGCGGATTATCCTATAAAATTTATTTTAGTAATTCTAAAAAAAAAACTGAAAATGTGCAAACGCGAGATAAACCGTTCGATTCGACAGTTCGAATACAAGATTTTGCGTCCGCATACTTCCAATTTTCTTTTACGGTTTAAAAAATGAGTTTCGAAGGAAGAAACAGCTGAACTGTGCTTCTAAGCGTAGTAATCTATTCGTTTTCTGCCAATAATTTGAACTAAGACCAGTAATTAAAAAAAATTTAATCTATATCTCAATATTGTCTTGCTTTCGGTGAAGGCTTTAAGGGGATCAACACCTTAAAATAAAATCGACGGCACTGTTTTCAATTAATCGTCAGAAAATTGGAAGCTACCAAAAATTTAAAACAGCACTTTAAAGTTTCTTTACGGTTATAAAGAAGGATTTTTTCTAAGAGCATTTTTAAATAATTGGTCTACGGACTCTTTTGTCGGTTTTTCATACAAATTAATCATAGTGGCTCAAAACTATGATATATCGATCTGGTGGCAATGCGTGGGACTAAAAGGTAATGATCCACCTCAAAGCACGTTTAAAGCAATCAAAGATGAGAGTTCGCAGAAAACATCACCGCAAAAAATTTCCAAATCAACATCAATTAGCGGAGATTCATTGAGGTATTAGACCCATGTTTTGGCAGTAATTCAATGCTGGAGCTATTTTGACCCGAGTGTCCTTTATTATGACTTGGCTAATTATTCTGTTGCTGACACGAATATGTGGTTCTCACCCTTTTTTTGAGTCCACAACTCCAATCGGCGATGCCGCGAGACCAAGGAACTTACCTTAACATGCACTGAACAAACGTTACGCAGTTTTGCTGTGTTTCTCTTTACAGATGTAGCATAGTTAATGAATGATGAAGCTGAATACGTGCATCTTCTCATAAGCCTGAATACATATTTGTTGAGTTGCGAGTCTAATTGGCTGCGTTTCACATTGACTGATGCGGACAAATCCAGGAGGCAATACTTTTCAAGCTCATAATAGCTTTGTTCCATAAAAAAATGCAGAGACCCACTCGGCACGAACAGCAATTAAACATTCTCTTTCCGATCGAATAAAAATTAAGTATGGCTTCCTCACTTGGAAAATGTATTGCAAACCTGTAAAAATGATTACTTTTTGCTGAAAATTAACCCTGAGCCTTCAGGCAGGGCCGGATTAAGGGGGTGGCCATAAGGGCCGTGGCCCATGGCGGAAATTTTAGGGGGCGGCAAATTTTGAAATTTTTTTAAATGTAGGTATAAAAAAAATCGGATTCAGAAAAAAAAAATTATCAACAAGAAAAGGAGACAAAATCTCTCTTTCCTGAGAGTATAGTAATTTCTACTTTTGTCGTTTTTCGGTGGTACAAGAGACAGTATCTTTAATTAGTCGAATTAAGAGAGGAACTAAACACGCAATTTGGCCTGGAGGTTGGCGCAGAGAGGAATGATTATGAGGACTTGAGATGAAAAGGACAAGCCCTCGGCGCGGCGGTCGGCATGTAATACATATTAGCGCCTACAAGACTGCATGAATACTTCACCCATTGCGCCAAACACAGGGCGGTCAGGAGCGGTTGGCGTGAAACGTATAGCGCCTACAAGACTGCAGGAATACTTCACCCATTGCGCCAAATACAGTGCGATCAGCGCGGCGCAGCGGCGGAAGTTAAAATTATTATACCACATTTATGTTTTGTTCTTTCATAATTTTTTGGTTCATTTCTTATAAATGGAGGAGCAAATTTCCGTGCAATTTTGCTAGTAGTGTTGACAGGGCTTTCGCAAAAAAAGTATCCAACACGAGTAGGTAAACGCGTCTTATGCACCCCTCCGCCTCCCCCTCTGGCACGTTCACTTGATGGTTTTTATTGATGTTTCAAAACGAATGAGAAGTGGGCAGCAAGTAGGTAAATCTGGCCCTGCCTTCAGGACTAATTTTTGGAGGCTCATAAATTCAATGATGGCTCCAAATCAGTTAAGACGAAGCAAAGAAAGTATACAAAATATTGTCGCTCCTCTAACATAAGGGCGTATCTGAATTTCCAATTGATCCCTGTTTTACTTATGAATCTATGCTTTCTGGGGCTCATGCGGCAATCAATATACGCCCTTACGTCAGAGGAAGGACGATATGTCACGTGTCAAAAAGTTCCATCAATGGCCGTGGACTATTTGATTGCTTTAAGATTCTCTTGAAATTGATAGGATTTTAAGTAATCGATGATCAATGATACAGTCGCAGATAACGCTACAGTAAGCAATTTAGTCGATTTTTTTTTGGAAATAACAGTCACCGAACTTGAAATAAATTATTTTCAATTCTTGATGAAGCTGTCAAAATAATAACAAGTAAAATTACTGTGGGAATACTTTAATCAATAACTTACAAGTATGCTTTTTATTTAAGAAGAACCTAACACAGGAGTTTTCATTAACAAGCAGTGAGTGAGTATATTTGTTTAAATCCTAAAATAACTAAACAATGAACGCTAAATCATCGTGCTTTGGTTGTCCCCAACCTGTGGCATTCACGCAGTCCTGAGCCTATTTGATATTTTATTTCAAGTCAGAGTTGGGGTATAAGATCGGCAAACGGTAGCGGATGACACATATCATCTCGTATGAGGATTTGTCATTCGTATACCTCGCAATTCCTGGGATCATACACATGGCTTCATGAATGTATAATAAATAAAATTTAATAAAGGTTTCAACACCATAGCTGCTTTTATTGGCATCAGTTCAACAAATAAACGTGCTGTACCTAGACCAATTAATGATTGCTCTAACAAGGTGTATTGGTATTACCTTGTTGAACTTTGAGAAAGGTCTGAATCGAGTATTCAAAACTGTTTTATGGACATAAGATGATGTTTTAGAATTTACATGCCAACTATTCGGTTTCATACAATGTTTCATTCAAGTCTGCCGTTCAATTTTAAACATGTAAGGATGAACGTTAATCCTAAACAACCCTTTTGCCTTTCATTTTCCTTGAATATTACCCATGTTGAATACGAATCATAAGATTTTGAGAACTTTACAGAAACTAATCGAATACATTTTTCTGTGAAACTAAAATGTGAATCTCAAGGGACGATATGTGAAAAATGTGTTATTTTCTTACTTTGTGGAGTAATCGTAGTTTTTCCAATTCTATGTATAAAGTGTTTGCGGAGAGACAAATCAATTTTGCAGTACCTACGGATTTTTGTTGAAATCCCCCGATTTATAATTATACCCCTTAAATACACGTTCTGCGTCATGACACAACTTGCAAGCAAGATT